TTTTATAGGAATTAAGTCAATTATATAACTTAGTCTTAGTTACAGAGATAATAGAATTCATTGATGTTGTAACTAATTAATGATTATGGTTACTCCCCCGCCATCACTTTAGCTGTTCCTATTACCCCTACATTCTTGCACTTTAATTTTCCAGCCCTAGCCGCTTCTTCCCTTCTTATTTCTTTTTCTCTGGTGCCCCCTTGTGTGAGGAAGGAAGACCAGCAATGGCCGAGGGGATAGGAGGAGATGACAAGGCTCAAGCAACGCCAATGATATCTCTTACTGGAGGAACACCAAAAATGAATCTGCAACAAGTAGGCCTGGGGTGACAATTATTGATTGTTATTTTTTTTAATAAAAATATTTTATGAATTTAGAGTCTAAGACATTGCTTTTTCATTTATACTTTTTTCTTATTTTTATTCAGGCAGTACGTGATGGTCGTGAAGAGGTGTTGAGACAATGGCTGGGTCAGCTAACAGTAAAGAAGAAGAAGAAGATGCTTATCAATGCATACGACTCTTTTGGCTTCACTGCTATGCATTATGCTGCTAGATTCAATCGCTTTAAAATGATGCAACTCCTTATTGCTAATGATGCCAGTAAGCAAAGTGCTAGGGGGAATGGAAGTATTATGCACTTAGCTAAATTACTGTGAATTGCAAGTTAATCTGACCAATCAAATGCCCTTGCTCACATGGGCAATGGCAGTTTGATTGATTAGTTTCATAAGCTATAATAATGACAATTTAGTGTGTGTATGTACATGTCTTTAGAAAGGGAGGTTTGTTGATTTTAATGAAAATAAAAACCAATTTGTTTATTATGCTTCAATTGTATCTTAGCTTAGGCATTGTCATGCTGTCAAAGTTAGTTTCTATTGCAAAAATTGAGTATGTTTTACAGATTGCATGTACATGTATGTATATAGCCTTTTCATTTAGACTGATATTGTGGTATTCTTTGTTGAGTGTCATCATGACATAATGTAACCTTTCATCCCTTGATAGTGTCATAAGTACACTAGCACTATTCATTTCTATTGTTCTCTCTCTCACACTTTTCTCTACTCACTTCCTATAGATCCAGAGGTGCGTACAGAAGAAGGCCTCACTCCATTACATTATGCTGCACGCTACACTCCACTCCACTCTAAGACTGGAGGAGAGAATGAAGAGGACTCTGCAGCTCCAGTCACTCTTCGTTCAACAAGCAAACAAATCCTTCAAGTCCTAATTGCTGTCTGCCACGTTGATATCAATGTCAAAGATCAAGATGACCTTACCCCTCTCCATCTTGCCTGCATGCGGGGGAACCGAGTTGCTGTAGAGAT